GTTTCTGTCAAAAGCTCTCTCAGCCCTGCCTACCTCACAGGGTGTCTGTTGTGGGGAGGGGAAAGAAAAGGAATTTGTAAGCCGCTCTGAGACTCCAAGTGAAGGGCGGGGTATAAATCCAATCTATTATTATTAGGGTTAGGGTATACATTATCCTTTTTTGGCATATGCTCTGAGCCTTTTCTGATAATTTGCTTAAAGAACAATAAAACAGAACTAAGTGCCAGCTCATGTCTTTTTCTGTCACTCACTGAAACTTGGTGTCCAGCAGGCTACCCGAGAATGGAAGAAGAGCAGGGAGTTGGGAATCCCTAGGAGGGCAAGGTGGAATAGGCTCTGCAGGCCAGAGCAGGCATGTTCTGTTGAGGGAAAAGTTAATTTTATGGCCCCCAGGCTTCTGCCTGAGAACCCAGCCCTCCTTTAGTTCAATGGGCCGGATGGGACTGGCTGGACACCAAGTCTTAGTGAGCTCAGTGAGTGAAGAACTGCTCTTCTTCCATTCTCGGGTAGCCTGCTGCCACCACCTGATTGATGTTGGGATTTCCCACCGGGAGGATCAGGACCCCCAGTTTCCCTTCCAAGTTCAGAGGCCTTGCCTCAGTGTCTCCCACTGTTCAGCACCTGATCCCCATGGGGACAGATTAATGCCTTGGGTGTCTTGGGAGGAACAGCCACTTGCCAACTGCCTGCCTTCCCCCTGGTTCCCTTCTTCAGATAGAGACAGTGGAGGCCTATGCGGTACAGAGAACCGCTCCCAGCATCAAAAGTTATAAAGTATTGATTACAAAGAAAATGCACAGCACAAGGTTAAGGAATCGAAAAACGGTTAAAAAGACAAAGTGGAAGTTTTGCTCCTTGCCAGCCTTCCAGGAGAAAATGCATTTCTTCACAGCCTGTGTAGAAAAGCTTTCTTCAATAATCCAGTTTTGCAAAGATTCAGGCAGGTAGCCACGTTATTCTTGAAGCAACAAAAGAAAGTTTGAGTCCAGTGGCTCCTGTAAGACCAACAAAGTTTAATTACGGATATAAACTTTTGTGTGCATGCAGCTTGATTTAACACCCAGAATTAAACTTCATTGGGTCTTAAAGGTACCACTGGAGTCAACCTTTGTTTTGCATAGTTTGCAGTATCCCCGCCCCACCATCCTGTTGTTGAATGTTTATCAGACCTTCACTACAGTGCAAAAGATTTGATTGAAAAATTAGAAGTGTGATTTCAGTCAAAATACAAACAGCAGATATTCCAAGAGTGCATGAGGAAAATTCATTTAATGTGTACCCCTTGACGCTAGTTTCTAAAAGACTGTTGGCTCGATTAAAGTTTGGAAACTTGAAAAGTGGTTGTATTTGCTCTGTTTTATTAGAAAAAATACTCAGGCAAGGTCTACAATCATCTGTCAATTATGAATGGCATACAAGAAATTCATGAAGCAATAAAATAAAAAAAAAATACAAATACAAACTATATCTGAAAACACCTATTTGGCAATTTTATAACTTTAAGGAAAAAAATCAAAGCAATTGCAGATGACCATACAAGATAAAGATTAAGCCGTAACTGAAGTGCTCAAGCAAGTAAAAAAAACAAAACGCATGTGTTTTTTAAATAGTTACATTGCTACAGTTCTTTATGAAATACCTTTATTATTAAACAACTATTCCAGAAACCATTCCATGTTAGTGGTGCTTATAATGTGCACTTCAAGAAGGAAGTCAAATGTTCTAAAACCTATTAGGAGCCGAGCAAGCATCTATCTGACCAGCACCAATATAGGCCCCATTTACGGTATTAGAAACACTTGTTTCTCCAGAGAGTTGAGTTTTATTTTTTTGCTGTTTTAATTAAAAAAAAAAAATTAGAGTAAAAACCGCTGTTATTTTATATTCACTGTAGTCATGTGAAAATTCCTCCTAAACCGGGAGGGTTAATCATGCAGTTTGACTGCATATAGCCACCATATATATATATATATTTTTTACATTTGTTCCTTTCAACAAGCAAGGAAATGACTGATTCATATCCATTACCAGCAATGAGTGCCATAAACTTCCTATGGATACTGTGCATCCTTCAACGATCTCTGGAAGGATGTTTAAATGTATGTTTGTTCTCACAACAGTAGTATATAGTCCTTTAGAAATCCAAAAGACTTTTTAAAATTATTGTTAAGAAAGGTGCTTGCTTTTAAACAAATTATTCTGGCAGCACTAGTGAATTACGATATCCTTCAATATTATTTCTACCATAATATATACATTTTAACTTCCATGCCTCTAGAAAAAACATCTACAATACTTTTCATAATATAAAAATATATTACAAATCTGCAAAATTATTTACAAGCAACGTCTTTATCTATATGCAACAATTTTTTTGTCTCCGTACAAGACGAACAAGATAACACACAATTTTTTTATTCCTATTCCTGTAGGTTAAGAAAATCCATAATTTCTTGCTTAGCAAAGCAAGGAAACCATTTAATTCTTTTTCTTTTTATAGCCAACTTTGGTGCATAAACGATTGTATTCCTAGATGTTTTTATTTTTTTAAAAATACATTTTTTTTTTAACATCTATAAAATTTTAGGCCAAAAAGGGGAAGGGGGATAAGAGATTCTTCAGAAGCAAACAGGAGTTTTAAAGGCCAAGAAATATATATATATATGTATATATAAAAAAGTCACTACCCTTTTTTTTTTTTGCTGTAGAGGTTATTGAAGTCTTATTAACTTACAGTAATAGTCTTATAGAGAGGATCAGATATATAGCAACACTTAACATCTATCATCCTCTCAAAATATACATTTCACTAGAAATGGAAATATGCCACCAATCATTTGCTTAAACATGATAACACCACTTAGGGTTATGTTGATAGGACACCACAAGTTTACAAAAAGTGACTATGGATTACTCTCCACCAGACTCTGAGGAAAGGGACTCTAGTGTATGTTTAGGTTCAGTTTTCCCAAGGATAAGATCCCCAAGCCGCTTGTTTACAAAAAATTAACTAACTGCAGGGAAGGTTGTCAGTGGCAACGCAGCACCCACCACTTCACCCAAGAGAAGCAACAGAGAAAAAAAAATTACTAAAAGAAAAGCAGCAAGCATGCAAAGCCGTCAAAGAGCCCACTGTATTGCCAGACGAGTGCTTGCCCTGTCGTCCATCGGACCACTCTGTGAAGATATATACTGATAGAGATTCATATATTCCGCAGATGCATCTACTTTGTTCACAGAATGGTTGTCACCGACAACAGGGCGGTTGGGCCAGAGGGGGCCTGACCAATGTGCAACTTCAGTTCTAATTCCGTGGCCAGAGAAAAAGATGGTAGATGAAGCGTCCCCCACTGATCTTACTTTTACCTCTTCAACCTCTTCTGTGGCATTGTTCTAGGAAGGAAGACGAAACTTGGTGTTAATGCAGTGGGTCTCAAACTTGTTGAAATGGGACCCACTTTTCTAAACTGGCTTTTCTTTTCGGGACTGACCCTTTAAAAGTTACTGTCCTTTGCAGGACACATTCGCGTCACAACGCCACGCTACTTTCCCCCTCCTCCCGAATAAAAACATAAGAATTTCACATTTGTTAACACTGAACCAGTATTTCACGGCTATGCCCTTCATCATAATGCAGATGCAAAACAGGGGGACCTGGTCTTCCCGGGTCTGCTGAATGAACATGCTTGAAGGCAAGAGATACGTACGCCAAGAACCAGGAAGCATACGCTCACCTCTCCTGAACTGACACTACAATATGCATCCCCCCACCCCAGAAATATGTGGATATGCCTCACGAATATGCTCAAATGCCTTCCTTTTTTTTTTTAATGTATTTTTATTGGTTTTCAGTATATAACATAAATAGCATTTCATATTTCCATTTTACAATACTTTTGGAGCTTTTTGCCCATAGATTTTTAACCAGTTATCTAGTTTTTGCCATCTTTTCTTAAACACACTATCCATTTTCCCCGCTAACAACATGTTTGTTTTATCCATTTCTTTTATATCTAAGATGTTTGTAATTAATTCTTCTCTGCTTGGGATTTTGTCTGATTTCCAACATTTTGCTATGGCAATTCTAGCGCTTGTGAGGATGTATAAAATTAAACGTGCATCATTATATTGTATATTATCAGGTAAGATATTTAATAGGAATATTTCTGGAGCCAAATTCAGGTCTATACTATTTATCAAATGCCTTCCAAAGGTGAGCAGGAGTCCTATAGCGAGGTTTCCCCACTAGTCAAAGGCAGAGAACGGTGTCTTCATTTTCCAACAGGATTCTATTTTTCATTCCCCCACCCCACCTCATATTATTAAACTGTTACTACAGAGTTTTTCACGCTATCTCCTATTCTGATTTCGTAACCATCCCACCCCGCAAAGAAGTAGCATATTTGATGCCAGGAGCCAAAATATCAGTAGCGCTTTGCTTGTGTTTCCAGGGCGCTTTATGTCTCTGAATTTTTACAAAGCCATAAATATATTCTAAGACATCAGACAACTCATTATGGAGACTGAGAATGCAAGCAGAACGCAGATTAGTTTCCCTACCCAGCTGTAATCAGATAGGCCAAACCCAGAGAGAGCTGTACAAATTTATTTGGGGTGTGTGTGTCATTTTCTCTGTGCAGTGGAAGCCCCCGCACTTCAGCTGGTCCTGATTCAGGGGGCTTTCTGACTTTGGGTGTGTGTGTGTGTCAGGGAACAGCCCACACATGTGCGTATCACACATAACACTTTGGATCCCGGCTGCTGATTTAGATGAAATTCCTTTTCTACAAGTGCACTTAGCACAGCAAGCTGCCTGTAAATATCTGCAACATGACACTATGCATACCTGAAAACAGCAGAAAAATTATCACGGGATGTAATACGTTATAATTTTTCTTTTGTAATCACCTATTAAGAAGCTCTATACAGTAAGTAAAAACAAGACCTGGAGCTGACTGTGGCTCAGATCATGAGCTACTCATTGTAAATAGTCAAAGCAATGGTAATGTATGGCTGCGAGAGTTGGACGATAAGGAAGGCCAAGCGCCGAAGAACAGATGCTTTCTAATTATGCTGGAGAAGACTCTTGAGAGTCCCTTGGACTGTAAGGAGATGAAATCAGTCAATCCTAAAAGAAATCCTGACTATTCCCTGGAAGGGCATATACTGAATCTGAAGCTCAAATACTCTGGCCACCAAATGAGAAGGGAGCACTCACTAGAGAAGACCCTGATGCTGGGAAAGACTGAAGGTAAAAGAAGAAGGGGACGGCAAAGGATGAGATGGTTAGACAGTGTCATAGATGCAACGAACATGAAGTTAAGCAAACTCCGGAGGACAACGGAAGACAGGAGGGCCTGGCGTGATGTGGTCCATGTGGTTGTGAAGAGTCGGACTCGACTGTGCGACTGAACAACAACAACATTAAGACTACTGTTTAGTGTCAAAGTTTAACAGCATATGTTTCCCTCAGGGGAAAAAAATGACACACCAGAAAATTCTGTTTTCCCAGGCAAAATATAACACAATTTATTAAAAAAAACACTGGAAACTGAAAGGTAAACCAAAAGGCTTACTAGATGAGACAGTAAGGCTTCAGACTGGATGGAGGTGTTCATCATACTTTTTGAACTCTCATATCAACAAATGCAGGAAGACCCCAAAGACGTCCGGAGACATCTTAAAGACAGAGTCGTTGGTCTTTAAGGTACTGCAAGAGTCCTCTTGGTTGTTGCTGCGATAAGAGTAGCAAATCGACTTCCATGGAATTCATAGCCATATAGAAACCTATGATGCAGCCTTACACTGAGCAGGGCCATCTAATACAGTCTCCTTCAACTAACAGCAGCTTTAGGGAACATTTCCTTTCCATCCCTACTGCCTAGGATCCCTTTTAACTGGCACGCCCCCAGGACTGAACCTCCCAGCATGCCCCTCATTGGGCCACGCCCCCCTTCTCCACATCAGATTGACTATTAGCAGTGAAAATTTCTGAATTTTCTGTGGCAGGATAAAAGTTTTGTTTTAACACATTCATAAATGTCGATTTCACAAGCATTACAGATTACTTTTGAGGGAAAAAATGTACAGAAGATATAGTCGTGGGCATTGACAGCATTAACACAAAATAAATCAACTTTTTAAGAAGCAGATTAGAGAATCCAATCTCAAGCAACAGCTGATAGCCAAAAATTAACTATGACACATCTTGTACTGAGTGCAAATTTCAAAGTAATACCACACGTATTACAGGCGGACTATAATAAATGTAAAAGATAAAATTTGGACTTCAAAAAAAAATTGGTATACAAAAATTGGTATACAAACCAGTATGTGATCTTAACAGAAGTGATCTTTCAGGATTCCACTGTGTGTACCTCCTTTACTAGACTTTCTGTACACCAAGCACAAAAAAGTAAAATACACTTGGTAAATACACACGTTACCTGTTTCTCAGTCACTAGAGTTCAAGAATTGTTACATGAGCTTAAACCTCCAAACTTAACTCCTAGATGCTGCCATTCTTGGAAGATTTCAGTTTATCAAATGTTACTCGTCAGCCCTGATTTTAAGCAACGAGATTACTGGGGTGGGGAAAGGGGAAAGACATTAAGGAAGATTCAAGGAACATTAAAAGTCTGCATCATCTGAATCCCCTTGGCAGCTTCAAAAAGTTAACTGAGGTTTAAGGTCATATTGAAAAAAGAGAAAGTTCAAAACTGGGAAAGTTACCTGTATATGTTTGGATCCAGAAGCAAGGCAGTATCTTTTGGTAGTTTTGATAAATGAACTACTTTAGTTTTTAATTGATGTCGCTCACTTTCATTTACCCACACATCAGGCAGACTATGAATAAATAAAATAAGAAGTATTCAAAAATGGTCAACCCTTTTTTCCCCTGTCACCATAAGCACAAGTGGTACAACTAAACCATCCTGAATTACCTTTTTAAAACAAAATCCTTGCTGATAATTTAGCTGTACGAGAGGTTCGGGCCAATGAACCTTTTCCCTCTAAGTGCAGTATCTGTTACTGTTAATAAAGCCTTGCTGTAACTGGTTTAAATGTTAACTTTAAGAGGAAAGCGCCGCTGGACGACCAATTCATAGCACTTACATTCCTATTCTCTGAGATAATGCCAGATGAAAGCAGCACTATACGCAAAGGACAGATATTCCGGATCAAAAGGACTCGGACCATTAGAGATTAATAATGGGATTGTAATTTTTTTTTTAAAAAAAACCTTTCCTGCTAAGACTCACATTTTTAGTTCTGATTAAGGCAGTATGAAGGGAGGATGAAAGGAGGATGAAAAAAGCTCAAGTGAGAAAAACTCCACATGCCGGATGCATCAAAGAGGAAGGATCACCTGAAGTCTGCTGTCTTCTGAGATTAAACAAGGCAGCAACCAGACAGAGGGCCTCCTCAGTGGTGGCACCAGAACTCGGGAACTCCCTCCCCTTCCGTCGCCATCTTCCACCGATGGATGAAGAATTTATGTTTTGCCTGGGATTCCCGCAGCGATCCCTACTTCTTTGCCCTATGTTTTAATGTTTGTGCATGTGTATTCTAGCTTTAGGAGCTGCGGTGGCTCAAGTGGTTAAGACGCTGAACTGCAGGCTGTGGAAGGTCGGTAGTTCAGTAGTTCGAGACCTGAGCGTGCCGCAAGACGGAGTGAGCTCCCGTCTCTAGTTCCAGCTCCTGCCAACCTAGCAGTTCGAAAGCAAGACATTGCAAGTAGATAGATAGGTACCGCTTCGGTGGGAAGGTAACAGCGTTCCGTGCGCCTTGGTGTTAAGTCATGCCGGCCACATGACCACGGAAATGTCTTCGGACAGCGCTGGCTCTTCGGCTTTGAAACGGAGATGAGCACCGCAACCCTAGAGTCGGATTCGACTGGCTTTCGAGCAAGGGAACCTTTACCTTTACCTTTTTATTCTAGCTTTGGGTTTCTTTTAATCGTTTTAGTAATGTTTGTTTCTAACAATTTATCAAGTATGTTTTTAATCTGCTTGGAGGCCCTGGTGAAGGTAGAAAGGTGGTATGAATCTTTTTTAAAGAAAACAAATATAAATAGCTTCATATACTTCTAAGGCCCAAACAAGATATTACTTTTACCACATGACATTTGGATTAGTCTCCATGCAACACTTTTAGACTGAGTTCCTGATGCAAGTTCCCCATGCGACCCAAACTCTGAAATGCTGCAGTGGCCTGATCTGGCTTAGGACCTTGTCTTGGGGGAGGGGGCGGGGGAAGAAGGCTCAAGCCCCTCCTCTCCCCACCCCATAATCCTGATCCAAATTGGGTCCCTGTGGCCTTTCCGAATTTAGTTTGTGTGGGGAACCTGCAGCTGCCATCTGGCTACAAGCTCCTGTGCTGGCGGCCGTGCATTAAAATTACCACCGAGACCAGTCCTAAACACAATACAGGTATTTTAAATTCAGATCTGCAGTCTTCAGCACTGAAAAACCTGACCGAGAAGAACATAAGAGAAGCCATGATGTCTCTGGCCAATGGCCCATCCAGTCCAACACTCTGTGCAAGATCATGGCGTCACCCACAAGCAGTGTTCCCTCTAAGCTGAGTTAGTGTGAGCTAGCTCACACTAACTCAGCTTAGAGGGAACATTGCCCACAAGTATATTTAAAACTTACCTTTACAAGGGCAAATTAAACGAGTCGAGCAACACTGGGCTATGCTCATTATGTGACTAGTGGCTCAATGGAAAAACCAGGTGCAAATTCAGGGTAAGAGACATTTCCCCCCACATGCAGTCTACCGCTTTCATTGTCACACGTGCACACGCACACAGGCGACACCCCGATGTCAAGATTCAGGGTTCTCTGCTCAGGATAGGAAAGAACCCAGCTTCTCCGCCATGCTCCCTCCTCCTTCCGCTCGTGCAGAGAGCACAGTTTAAGTCCTCCACTTTGATTACGTGTAGGCAGAGGTCATTTCGGGGGGGGGATCGCGGGGGATCGCAGTTCCCCCGGGTGAGGTACGGGGGC